GTGGCTCAAGCGGTAGCGCGTTCGCCTGGCATGCTTGCGGCCCGGGTTCGATCCTCAGCACCACATACCAACAAAGATGTTGTGTCCGCCAATAACTAAAATAAATAAATAAATATTTAAAAAAAAAAAAAAAAAGATGTAAGGGAGGCCCTGTCCCGCTGTGCAGGCCTGTAATCCCAGCAGCTCAGGAGGCTGAGGCCGGAGGATCACAAGTTCAAAGCCAGCCTTAGCAATTGAGCAAAGCCCTAAGCAACTTAGTGAGACCCTGTTTCAAGACAAAATATAAAAAGGGCTGGGAATGTGGCTTGGTGGTTAAGTGCCCCTGGGCTCAATCCCTGGTATCAAAAAAAAAAAAAAAAAAAAAAAAAGGGTGAACGCGACAAATCCTTCCCGAGCTCCCCACCCCTAAGCCTGAGCCTCTGCACCCCTTCCCAGAGGCCTCTTCTGCTGCCAGAAGTGTCCTAGGGAGCTGACCACTCAAAGGGCCCTTGGAGTCCTTGAGTGGACAGGGCCTTGTGAAGAGCCTTCCAGGAATCGGGAGCAACCCTCGGTCTCCCCACGTTCCCTGCTCTGTGCTGGGAGAGCAGGTGAGCAGGGCTCAGCGCTGACGGAGGGGCAGGGGCTGCCCCTGCCCGCTGGCCTCTCCCTCCCTACTCCTCCCAGTGAGGCTGCTGACTCAGCCTCCGAGGCTTGGTTCTCTTTCTCAGCATGAAATGCTTCAGACCCCAGGAGGATGTGGCAATGATAAGAGCAGGCAGAGGAGAACCYGCAGACCATGGACAGGCGCCCGGGTTGCCAGGGAGCAGGGTCAGCAGGGTCAGAGGGCAGCAGCTGTCCCTGAGACCTTTAAGAGGCCCCAGGTCTAGGCAGCTGCAGGCCCTCAGCTGTCAGGAGGGCTCTGGGGGGGTGGGGAGTAGCCTGAAGCCCAGGAGGAAGAGGAAGAGGAGGAGGAAGAGGAGGAGGAGGAGGAAGAAGAGGAGAAGGAGGGGAAGGGGTCTGGGCGAGGGGATCTAGAGCTGGTTGTTGGTCCACCCTGGACTGAGGGTGGCCCAGCCTAGGCCCCTGGGCATTTCCAGGGCACACCTAGAGGGAGCAGCCATAGCCCTGGCTACTCAGGAACAGAGAACACAGAGTGACGGGGGTGGGGGTGGGTGACAGAGAGGCCCAAATTCCTGAATCGCAGTCAGCTGAGCCCACCATGGATGGATGTCCAGGAGCATCCTCTTGTCTGCCCACTAGAATCTTGTCACCCTTCTCCTCTCCCAAGCCAGTTCCGCCCTTTGCCCTGTTGTTAAGGAAAAGTGTCGTCCAAGGTCCCCTCCACAGCAGTGTCTGGCCCATYGCCCCTGCACCAGCTCCCAACTCCTCCTTCTGCAGCTCTGGATCTCTGGGAGCCCGCGGTCCCCTCTCCGTGCCTGCGTCTCTCCAGGGCGGCTCCAGCGGCCCTCTTGGGTGCTGCCCTTCATCCATCCTCCCAACACACCGGGCGCCTCCCGCAGCCCGTCCGCCTCACCTCCCTCCTGCATGTGCTCCTGGTGCTGGGGCCGGTACCTGGGACCCCTCTAAGTCCGTCCTTGTTGGGTGGCCATGTTCACCGCCTGGCAGGGTGGGAAGACAGAGGGTTTGGAGTTTGAATCCAGCCCGTGGCTTCCGGAGGCAGTGACTCCGAGCCTCTGGCAGGTTGGGTGGGAGGGCTATGGGGATGTCACGTGTCAGGACGTGGTTGCTGCCCTCCTTCTGATCTGAGCTGCTTTTTATCTGTCTGTTCCTTGACAGTCCCCGCAGTCCTCCTCCCCTAGTTCAGGCCCTCATCCTATTGGTTGCAAGTGACAGAAAATTCAAACTAGGTTAATGGGGAAAAAAAAGAGAGAGAGAGAGAGAGAGAGAGAGAGAGAGAGAGAGAGAAAGAAGAAGCAAAAAGAAAGGGTGAGGGGCATCTGTGGTTCACGGTTGGGATGGAGACGAGCTTCCGTGCAGTTCAAACACCAGAAGCCGGTGCTGCCCCCGCTGTTCACTCTTGGCACCCGGATGTCCTGTGTTTCTCCTCGTGGTGGTGAAAGGGCTGTAGCAACTCTGCCCTTGCAGCCGTGTCTTCCCCATCAGCCCTAGAAGAAGGCTTACCTTTGGAACACCTTAGTTCCCACCCATCCCTGACCGGTCACTGAAGCCAGGAGATGCAATGCAGTGTTAGGTTCAGGCAAAGGAAGAGCGTGGAGGAAAGGTGGTCACCCTGCAGGGAATCTGGGTGCTGTTACCGTAGGAATGGAGAGTGGCTGCTGATAGTTCATAAAATGGTCTCTAGGCTCCCCCAGCTCCGTCGCGGGGGAGCACTGCCAGTCTTCTGGTRCAGGTTGTATATTACCCACCTCAGTCCTCAGAAGCCTCAGGAGACCCCTGGGATGGCAGAATCCAGTCCAAACTCCTTTGCCATGCATTATAGACACTATTGTTCAGCTAAAAAAAAAAAAAAAAAATGTTTCAGGCCCTTTGCTTCTCTTCTGTCTCTTCTTTTTCCCCCTCCTTCATTCACTCCTGTCCCTCTTCCTATCCTCTATAAATCTACTTCAAGAATGGACCTTGAAAAAATGCTAAGAAATCAGACAGAAAGGACCCTGTTTGAGTGATTCCATTTAGATTAAATGCCTGGTGTAGGTGAATCGATAAAGAAAGTAGATCAGTAGTTGCCAGGGCCTGGGGCAAGGGGAGTGAGGAGTGACTGCTATTGGGTATGGGTTTCTTCTTGGAGTGGCAAACATTCCTGAAGAATGTAGTAGAGATATTTGCACAACGTTGTGGATAAAGTGAACAATCACGGAAGTGTACGGTTCTTGTTGTACCTCAATAAAATACCTTTAACCCTCAAACCTCCCTCCCCCCAGTCAGTCAAGTTTTGTGCCAAGTTTGAGGCTCCCGGTTGGGAAGGAGCCACATGTGCCCAGGCAGGACTGGCTGTCAGGTGGCTCCGTTGTGAACCAGGCCAAGGGTCAGGCAGAGGAAACAAAGAAGTAAGGAATCAGCCCAAGTAGCCACCCAGCGCCAGAGGCAGCTGAGCAGGGCTGGTGACCCTTAGGTCAAGGGAAAGACAACAGCAGGCTGAGTGGCGCACAAGGCTGGGCAGGATGGAGAGGTCCGAGGACCGCGTCCACCGGCCCGCCCACCCAGAGTGCCCCTCGGGTGAATTCTCCAGCCTTGTTCTTGGCACCCAGTTCCCACCCACAGGAGCTGAGGGGGGGCTTTAGTTCCTTGCCAGAGCMGGGGCCTGACTCCTGAGGGCCACCCAGGCTCCCTGTGGGAGCGGGGAGGAGACCCCGGGTGGAATGCCAGACTTTGCTCTTCAGAGCTCTCTACCTTGTCCTGGGCTCCTGTGCCAAGGGCCTGGGGCATGAGCAGACACGGGGAGCTGCCACCAAGGAGGGGTGGAGGCGCAGGGGACCCAGTCAGCCTCCACCCTCCACCACCGATGCCTCCCTCCCAGAGCCTCTGTTCCAAGATCGTGTGCCCCACYGCAGGATGGCATGAGCCCTGGGGATGACAGATGCTGCAAGAAACTGGGCACAGCTGGTGTCTAGGGACAGTCAGCTGGCAGACGCCTGGCACTGACTTCCTGATGAGAGCAAAAAGGAACTGTCTGGTGGCAGAGAGGCGGGAGAGACGCATCTGCGGGGCCTGCCTGCTTCTGGGCCACGTCCTGCCTTCTTTCTGTTGAACCTTACTTGCCTGCTCCGCCCTCCAGGATCCTTTCCAACAGTCACACGACCTGTCTCCAGGCAACGCTCCCAGCTCTCATTCATGCCTGCGACAGGGAGTTCCAGCTTTCTCTCTCCGTGGCCTCTGGCCCCTCCCTGCCCTGGCCTCCCTCTCTGCCCGCGCCCCAATCCTACCCAGCCTCTGACTCCCCCGAGTCTGGAAGGAGTTGGGGTGCGAGATGTTACCATTCCCCAGAGGCTTCTTCAGAATCAACAGGACAATTGCCAAGTGCTGTGGCCTCTGGTGATAAGGGCCGACCCTCCTTTATCGTGGCCGAGGCCCCTGGTTAATCTTCCCAGGCCTGGTTTCCCAGGGCGGGGAGGGGCGGTTTCGCTGGTATTTGGCTTGGTAGAAACACAAAGGCTCTTGAACTGGGGTAACTGAGTCAGGCTGTGGGGGGAGGCGCCTAGCCTCCTCCAAGGCCTCAGGGTGCTTCCTGTGCSGGGAGCTGGGGGGAGACTCAGCTCCCCAATTTGGGGCCTATCTCTAAAACCAAGGTGGCTAAAACACTAGTGAAACGAAGCAGCTGAAAGGGAGCCGTACTGCCCAGGCCCAGCCCATCTGCCGCCAGATTCCCATCACCTTCAGAGGAGGCGGGAGGCAAGGCTGGCCACTGTTAAGTCACCGATTACCTCTGAGTCAGGGGACGGGCAGCTGCTGCTCCCTCACACACCCCCGGCCCGYCCGCCAGGGGTTTTCCGGCTTGGCCCTGGCAGGCGGAGCAGGACAGCTTCCTGCTCAGGTGGACTTCACCCATGGCAGGCAGCCTTTCCCCAGAGTAAGGACGTGTGGGCAGGGGACGTGTGGGGACCAGGAAGGCCTGCCCTGGCCCGAGGGCTCTGGGTTACAGGCAAGCCCCATGCCCCTTTGGGACTGGGTAGAGTGGCTACCACAAGGGACTTGGGCTTTTGGCTCAGGGAAGCCGCCTCCTACAGCTGGAGAGGTCAGGCTGGGACCTCAGCACATACGAGAGGCCATGTGGGGAGGGCTGGGCCCGCCRCCAGTGCTGGCTCCACAGCCCAGCTCCAGGGCCAAGCCCAGCGCCCCTTCTCAGCTCTGCAGCCAAGGGGGCCTGGGGAGGATGAGGGTGGGGCCAGAGTCCCAAGGAGCTGGCAGAAACCCAGTGTGACCGGCACTCTGCCTTCCCCGGACACGGGTCAAATAGGCCACATTCTTTGGCTACTACCAGGAAAAAGAAAGTGGAAGAAAGATTAAACACAGAAGTTACATTCAGAATTTATTTTTATTTCTCCAAAAGTTGTTTGTGGGTTTGATTCACGTAGAAAAATCCCAAAGCCTTCCCGCCCTTCCAGAGCACTGTTTCCCACTGGCTCCCCTCGGACACTGGTGTCCATTCGGGGTGAGAGCTTCCTTCCAGGGAAGCCTGACCCAGAGCCAGGGCCCCACCACACCCGGGTCCTCAGAGCCCGCTGCTCCCCTGGGTGCTGCACAAGGAGGGTGGAGAGGCCCGAAGACTCAGATCCTGACCACCTGGGCAGCAATACAAGGGCTCTGCCTCGTCTCTCCGGCCACCAGCAGCCTCCTGAGGTACAGGCGGCCAAAGGTGCCACCCACCTGCCCTTTGGTGAGGCGCCCGGGATTCAYGCAGACGCAGCCGAGGATGTCCTGGGGAAGGAAGGGAGAAGACGGGCTTTAGAGGCCCTCAGCTGGGGACTGATGTGGCAGAGTAGCCGGACGCTCAGACCCCAAAGAAGGTTTTGTAAAATGGAAACGGAGGCCATCACATGGTCACTCTGAACTGCTCCTGCGTCTCTGGTGCCCTGGAGGAAGACAGTCGGGCTCATACTCAAACCGATCAGCTGTTTCTTGTTTTCCTGATGAGAAACAACTTGCCTCCAGAGGCTGGACTAGCTCTGGTCTGGAAAACGGGGACTGGCCTGGGGGTTCCCTGTGACAGACTCAGCCCAGCAGGCAGGGCTCACGGTATAGGGACCACAGTGGCTCCTGAGCTGCTTCCAAGTGTCCTCAGTGGATCCGCGGGAAGTCATCAGAGCACGGAGGGGCAAGGCAGGGCCCGTGTGCCGCGCTCCAGGCCACCCTGACAYGCCTGGTGGGAGCCACTCTGCCAGGCCTTCCCACTCACCGGTGGCTCCTGCTCCATTCCAGCTACACTTCACCCACGGATTTGTCATCTTGTCCCACCGTCTCCCCCAAAGCCACGAGGCCCAGGGCTAGGTCAGAGGCCACCATGCCCTTCAGCAGACCTACAGAGGGTGAGTGCTGGGTGGCCCGGGAGGGAAGGGCAGAGACCAGCTCTGGAGGTCCGGGAAAGCCAGCGCAGACCTACCTTCACAAAGTACCTCAGCTCCGAGGGGACTATGAGGACGTCTGGGGTGACTGGAAGCTGTGCGTAGGCATAGAAGTTCTCATAGTCGATGGCCATGTCCTCCTGGGGAGGGTACAGTGGGTAGTAGCTGCAGAGATGAGAGAGAGGGTCAGCAGCAGCGGGGACCAGGGACTCTGCCCCAGGCCCCTGCGCCGACTTCCGCGCACTTGTCTTCACCGACCGGCTCTTTCTTTTGTTTGGGGAGACAGAATGCAGGCTTTTGGTGACAGGGTGACGTCCCCTGGTAGTGAGTGGCCTGGTGGAGGCTCTGACAGTCAGAGCTGTCACTGCTCCATGACCCCAAAGTACTCTCTTTGCAGCCAGCTGGCGGCAGCGAGCGCTCACCTCCTCTGGGTCAGGATGTGCTTGAGAATGCGGCTGAGTCGGTCTGAGGTTCCAGAGGAGCTGGGGGCAAGCACAGAAGAGGAGCGACCCAGCTAAGTGGCCAAGACGCAGCAGCAGGACACCTCTGGGGAAGCCTAGCCCTGCCAGGAGCAGAGCACACTGTCCCCACAGGAGGGAGGCAGCACCAGGGGTGAGGGAGAGCAGGGACCCTGGTGATCAAGGCCAACACATGGCCTGGCCAAGAGGACCCAAGGTCTGCACCCACTGGCAGCCACCAGGAGCACCCACCCACCTTCCTAAACCACCTCACTCCACCGTCTCCTCCCTGTCGAGGAGGGCGGGAGAGCCAACCGCCAAACCAAAAGGTCAGACTTGGCTGCATCTACCCCTCACCCTGTTCCACCGGGAGAAGACCCTGGAGGGCAAACCCACGGCCCGCCCTCCACAAAGAGGATACCCTCGCCCACCCAGGTCGCAAGCCAGGAGGTGGAGGGAGGGAGGAGCGGGGAAGACCCAGCTAAATGCTGGAGTAGACGGGGCCCCCAGGACTCTCACAGGCTGTTAGATGAGTGAGGGCAACAAATGTGTCCACTGCTCTCGGCTACAGGGACATGGCACATGGCCAAAGGGCTTGGCATGAAGTGCGGTCCTCAGGAAGTGCTGGTCAGGGCTGCCCAGCACCGCGCGGCTGGCAGGCTGCAGGGAGCCAGCTGCCACACTTGCCGGCCTGGAGTGGACCTCTTACCTGCTGATCTCCTCGGCCCCCATGTGGAACAGCAGATCCGTGGACGTCAGGCCAAAGATCACCCCGTTTACAGAGAGGCTGCAGGGCTCCGACACAAACTGCACTCGCTAAATCAGAAGGTGGGACACACACGTGGCACAGGGCAGCAGGAAACACCTGCCCACGACGGAGACACCGGAGGGGGCCCACCCACGTGCAGCAGACTCACAACCGTCTTTGCCTGTCACAGAATGTCTAAGAGCCAGGTTGCGTGGGGACCCCAAACAGGCTTCTCCTCCCCCAAGAGCTGCCCCTGTGCCTCGCTGTCATAGGGKGGGCTGGCACCTTTTTGTCCTCCCGAGACAGATCGGAGTAGCTAAAAGGCGGCTGTGGGTACACAGGCTCGTGGTGCACGTCTCTCAAGGAYGGGACGAAGACCAGGTGGGAGCCGGAGCTGCTTTGTCAAAACACATGAAAAGAGAGACAGTGAGAGCYGCTGGGTCCAGGCAGTGGGCCACGTGGCCCAGGAGTGAGGGCTGGACACCGCAGACCCTCGGCTGGGTGGACGTGGAAGGCGCTCTGCCCCAGAGAGGCTGCCGCCCTGGACACGCGAGGGAAGTGCCACTTGCCCTCATGTACACACATCCATTTTGACCAGCTTCTGTGACCCAGGACACACCGTCCCTTCCTCTGTGTGGCATCCCACTGGGGGGGCAGAGGAAAACTATTATTTGGTAGAAAAAGGAAAAGAGATTGAGATCTAGAAAATCTAGACCGACGAGGATTTGGCCAAAGAATCCCGGGCTCAGAGCAGGCACTGGGCCTGTAGTTCAACCCCTGATCCCTGGACACACACAACAGAGGCACTGAACTGTCCCCCAGACGCCTGGCCAGGTTCTGCCACAGAAGCTGGGGACTCCTGACCAGGGAGAAACCAGGCACGCTGGGCAGACCGGAGGCTGCCTTACTACTTTCAAGATCAAGCTGAAACCCCTTGAGTAGCCACAGGCTGGGCCCTGACAGGACGGTGAAGACGTGCAGGACACGTGCTGGCTTCTCTGTGCCAGCGCCCGGGTTTCGACCTCGGAGCCGACGGGCTCGCAGGAGTGGAAGACATACTTAACAGCAACAGCAGAAGCAGAGACGGCAGCAGATGTCTGCTCTAACAGAGGCAGAAGGAGAATCTCTAGGGCCATAACACAAGGGAAAGCTGCTAACTCTCTGGGCCAACTGTTTATTTTCCCCGGCTGCACAAGAGAGGAAAGGGGGAAAAGCCGGTTTCCTTGGCTCCTCAGCTTGGTTGGCAGAGGGGCCTTTTGTAAACCAAACAGGCGTAAAGCATTACTTTGGGGCATGTTTAAAACCTGCCAACAGCTCTTGCTTCCAGCTCCTTTTCTTGCTGACAATGCTGTGGCCCTGCAGGCATAGGCACAGGGATTTTCACGTGTGATCTCCGTGTTGACTGCTGTCACCCTATCACTTGTCCATCATGCCTGCTCCCAAGAGTGAACCCAGACTGTGTGCGGCAAAAGAAACCAGGATGTTGAGACCAAGGGCACTCTGCGTATTAGTTACAATCCCTTTGGCACTGAAGGCTCATTATGTTATTCAAGTCCACCTCTGGGTGCTGGAATCTGGCGAACAGGCCAGCGGGGAGGGGACTGGGGACATCTTGGCTCTAGATTCCAAGGACTCATAATCTGTGATGCATGCAAAGAATGAGGCACAGCTGGCTGCTGTCAGAGGCTGGAGTTGCTGTCTCAGGGTTGAATTTGGAAGTGAGCTAGYTGAGGAGGAAACAGCTTCCTGGCTTTGGGGAAGGGATCAGGAAGAAAATTCCAACTGTCTCAGTATCGCACAACCTCACACATCACATGGAGGGGGGTCTCACAGCCGCTCCCTCACATGTACAGCACAGGAGCTGGTCCTTCCTCGCTGGCTCTGTCCTCTACTGACAAATGAGCGCAGTGCTTGGCATTCCTGACCTCTAGGAAAGAAAGAAGTCCTCAGCCAAGGACCACTTATATACTGTTTCTGGAAGGGTGGGGCAGCTCCCGCCCCGTGGCCCACACTGGCTGTAGATGAAAGTGCCTGGTAGTGCTGGGCGCCCGCCTCGGGGTGACAATGCCTGGCCTGTTCCTTGTTTGTATCATTGCTGTCAATACCACATGGGGTGAGGAACCCAAATCAGAACCCAGCCTCAAACTGCAAGTACCAGCCACGCTGGGCCCTGCTGCAGCCCCTATGGATTCCCATGGCTGACAACAGGGACATGTGGCCCCCATCCTGCTGCTGCTTTTTATTTTTGGTATGGGGTGGGGGAGGGTGTCTCCTAAGCTCTAAGCACTCTCCAGATCTGGTGAACCTGGCTGGCATCACGACAGATCTGAGGAAGTGGGAAGGCACCTGTGTCACTGTCACTGAGGGAGGGAGTGGGGAGGACTTTCAGATGACAGGCCCAGCCTGTCTTCTAGCTCCAGGGTGAATTACTGGGGTGCTCACTCTCAGGTCTGCTGCCCCCTGCACTGGCCCACACCGCTGGTAGGAGAAGGTAGTGTTACGACTAATCACTTTGGGGATCTGTTTTCATGCCCAAAGGTGAAAGATTATGCACCTTGTTTTGAAAACCGCCTTTGTTATAGGCTCGTTTTTAAAAGCTCAGCACAGCAATATTTGTTTTTTTATGAGCTCAGTTACGGGCAGGCAGATCCCAGGAGAAGCTCTGTTACTACACCAACTTCTTCAGCCCCTGGCACCTGGGAAAAGGGACAGGAGTGGAGAATCAGCTTCCTGCATCACTTCCTGCTTCTAGCATTAGACTCTTCCTGGGACCGACTCTCCTTTCAAATTAGAACCGCACAGCTCTTCCATCACTGCTGTGACTTCTGCAGTCCCTTTTTGAGCTACGGCAAGGGGTCAAGATCCCCATCCTCGGCAGGTCTCACTGAACATGGGAAGCACCAACTCAGGGAAGGAACTGGCTCACCCCAAAACGGTTGCCCAAGGAGAAGCCTGGGCCTCATGGGCTCTGCTGCCAGTCATAAGGACCTCTCAAAGCCATCCCAGAACATCCCCATGGACACCAGGTTTGCATACAGAATGAGAAATAGATAGAGAGGAGAAAGAGCAAGGGAAGAGTGAGGGCTGGCGCAGCTTTTCCTTTCAAGTTGGTTTATCTCGGCGCTTCACAAAGCTGCCGCATCACTTGGCGCCTGTACACTTGAAGTTCAAGGGTTCTATCTGATCTTATAGTTCAAAAGGACGAAGACGATGGGAACTACCATTAAGGTTTAAATAGTTCCGGTTTCTTAGTGGGAAGCCCTAGAAGAGGAAGCTTTGGGTTCTGTCCAGCATCTGGAGTGCTGACCTTCTCGTCCCTTCGATGATGGTTCGCAGACACTGCCTAAAGACATCTTCAAATGGGCTTGTCAGCAGACAGTTCTGCAAGGGAAAGGATGGGGATTTAGAGGTGGTCTCTGGTGTCATTCACGTGTCATACTTGCTAGGTGACCCTTTGCACTTCACCCCCCACCCGGCCAGTTTCCAGATGGCCTTATATCCTAGTGAAATGAGTACCTCAAATTCAAGATATTTATTAATGCCTGGCTACAATATTTTTTGATTAGCCACAGGTTTAATTTAGGTTTGTTAAAGATGTGGAAAGTGGAAATAAAAGCAAGGCCTGGATCGAAGGGAAGTGCCCGGTTCCGCTCCTCACCATCCAGAGGCACTTACCTCCACCTGTTCGTGCTTAGCATCCAGGAAAGGACCAAACTGCCCCGAAAGGGAGAAACAAAGACACGAAAAGAACAAGTCAGGACTGCACAAGTCTGCAAACACCTACAGGTGACTTCTTGCCATTCTTTGCCCAGGGCCCCCTGTCCTGCCAAGGCTGCCTGGAGAACCTGGGGACATTCGGCAGGGGGGGCAGGGGGCGCCCTGCCAACTCCACAGGCAGAGACACCTGAGGCCTGTGGAGAGAGGCTCCCAGGGCCCACAACCTGTACTGCTGCCCCTCCCCAGGGCACTGGGCTATTTTCTTTCTATATCTAGCAAGGACAACTGACCACCATGCTAACAGCAGGACTTTAGACATAAAAAGATTTGRTTCAAAAGCTGGAAAAAGGAAACAGAGGCAAGAATATTGTAAAATTAATGAAGGGAGAAAAAAAAATGCTGGGCATTTAGATTTAGCGAAGGCCTCTAGATCACATTCACCTCTCCAGAGATGCAGATGGAGAACTAAAAAGGGTTTAAAAACAACAAGAACTGACATGTTTCTGAAAGACTTGGAACAGCAGCAAGACCCCTYTCTGAGACTCACTCTGCTGTTCTCCCCCAGCCGCCTCCCTGCACAGAGCCATCCTGGGGGCTCCTACCAGGACGCAGACATCTGGCCGGTCGCGGTTGATGACGGTGATCAGGTCGAGCAGTGGCTCGTAGGTGATGCTGTCAGACGTGGTGTAGGGCCCACAGGCAACCATGACCATGGTCTGCTCAAAATCTAAGACAGAAAGGACTGTCAGGTCTTGAGTAGAGGACGGGCACTGGGGTGGTGGGAGCAGGAAGGGCCTCTGGAGGAAAATGCCCTGGGAGTCCCCACACTGCGTTTCCATATGTGTGTGGCCTGGGGACCCAAGAGGAGGAAGACCTCRTCCTTCCTCCAAGGGCACCCCACCAGGTGGAGGACACAGGCAGGTCTGCAAACAACCACAGCCACAGCAGTGCTTCCCAGCAGTGCACCCGAGGGACATGAAGACACGGCCATCAGGAAAGCCCTCACCCTCACTGAGACTCAATCGTGCTCAGCATTGGGACCATGMGGGTCCAGTGGGGCTGGAGAGTCCAGAGGCAGGTGGGCTGAAGGCCTGGAAGGGGAGCTGCAGGTGCTGTTTCCTGTCAGACTTTCTAACAGCAGATGCTCTTTGCTTTTGGAGAGTTGGCCCTCTCCCCACAGGGCAGGCAAGTGGGGCTGGAAGTCAGGTACTCTGTCCTCAGCTAGCCTAGGGGCAGGCACATGACCCAGCTCAGGCCATTCACACCTTCCTGCTGGGGTCTGGAGTCTGGAGAGGGCCTGTCCCAGGACAGGAGGAAGGTGGGAGCCCTACTCCAGTCTAGGTGTTTGGATGACAGAGCCGGGGGGTTCCTTTTACCTGGACACAAGAGCTGCTGGGCCTGTGTCCTGGTCCCAAGCCTGGGTCTCCAGCCCCTGTCCAGTCTGTAAGCTGCCTGGATTTCCCTGAACAAATTCTGATATTGATCTGGGTCAGTTTTTGTAGCTTACAATGACAACAAAATCCTAAGAACTTTGACTTTTTAAAAAAATTTTTGGTAGTCCTAGGGATTGAACCTGGGACCTAGCACAGTCTAGGCAAGTGCTCCACCACTGACCACCCAGAGCCCAGACTCTGGCTTCCTAACATGCAGTTGTTACTTCCGAGCACTGCTGCAACAATTTACCTCAAACTTAGTGGCTTAAAACAAATCTTTCATCTTACATTTCTGGAGATTTAAAAGTTCTAAAATCAAGGTGCTGGCAGGGCAGGTGGGCTAGGGGAGAACCCATTTTCCTTGTCTTTTCTAGCTTTCAGAGGCCACCTGGGTTCCCTGGTGAATGGCTCTGCCTTCCGTCTTGGAAGCCGGCAGCCTCACATTTCTGACTCTGATCATCCTGCCATCCTCCTTCATAAGGACCAGTGTGATGACARGCAGCCCCCTGGGTATCCAGCACAATCTCCCCATCTCAGGGTCTTTAACTTAATAACAGTTCCTTTTGCCATAAAAGGCAACATCTTCACAGGTTCCAGGGACAGGAGGGGCATCATTCAGTCCACCACCACCACAGCAGCCCCACAAACAAAGACAAAGCATTCTATTCAGTGGGAAAGCAGTTTGTGTGGTGGTGGGCAGGGGACAAAGTCGGGTTGGTTCTGTGTGCCCACCAGAGACGTAAAGGTACCAGAGGACACAGTGAGTGCTAAGAGGGCGAGGTCCACGTCTCATTTGTATCTCTACAACTGTCTGGTTAATTCCTCATCCAAAAGCTCCTGGCCCATGGCTCGGGCTCCTGGTACCTAAGCCATGTTGATTCATCCCTTGAAGTTGATCTGATACCACCATGCCACCCTTTACACACATATTTTCCTCACAAACACATACTTTCTGATAAACCGTACAATGTCATAAATTACTAAATTTTGTTCCTGATTCTAGGTCATCTCCAAGAATGACTTCACACGCTGCTGACTGGCACAGGGTAGTGACAATACGCTAGTCTGCCATCCACTGCTAATCTTTTTTGGGGGGTGGGTGTGTACTGGGGACTGAATCCAGTAGTGCTCTACCACTGAGCCCTTTTGCCACATTCCCAGTTTTTAAATTTTTTAAAATCTAAGCCAGGGTCTTGCTGAGTTGCCCAGGCTGGCCTTGAACTTGTGTTCCTCCTGAATAGCTGGGCCTGAGTCTACTCCTTTTTTTTTTAAATCTAGTGGAATATTTTGTATTATTTTCATACTAAGTTGTTTTTTTTTAGTTCGTCTCAATTCTGATATTACACATTTATTGGAAATACCTGACAGCTATTTAGATTTTATGAGATTTACAGTTGAAAAAAATAAATTGAGCTGGGCATGGTGGCGCACGCCTGTAATTCCAGCGGCTGGGGAGGCTGAGACAGGAGGATCATGAGTTAAAAGCCAGCCTCAGCAACAGTGCGTGCTAAGCAACTGAGGGAGACCCTATCTCTAATAAAAATACAAAATTGGGCTGGGAATGTGGCTCAGTGTTTGAGTGCCCCCTGAGTTCAATAAACAAACAAATAAATAAATTCGTGTGTCCAAGTTATCCCCAAGCTAATTAAACATTTTCCAATATCTGAACTAAGTATCTTTTAAAATTAAGAATCCAGTTCCTCAGTAGTAGCTTTAGCTATATCTCAGGTGCTCAGCTGACACCTGTGGACAGCACAGGGCCAACACATCTTGGCTCCCACCGTCACAAGAATAACTTCTTYTTTTTTTTTTTTTAGAGAGAGAGAATTTTAATATTTATTATTTTTTAAGTTCTCGGCGGACACAACATCTTTGTTTGTATGTGGTGCTGAGGATCGAACCCGGGCCGCTCGCATGCCAGGCGAGCGYGCTACTGCTTGAGCCACATCCCCAGCCCACAAGAATAACTTCTTATTCCAGCTCCTGGTGGGACATAAGTCAGGCGGTAAGATGAAGTCATCCCACGGGAGAGCCTGGTGCTGCTTTTCATCTCTAATGGTGTTCCACTTTGCTTAGAAAAATGCCTAGAGATGTTTTGTCTATTTTTTACTGGTAAATTATATTTGTGTGCAATGGTGGGATTTGTTGGTATCTATTTGTACATGCACACAATATAAGTATAATCTGGTCAATATCACTCCCCGAGTTCCCCTTTCCGTCCCCTCCTCCCTCCCCGTTCCCTTTCCTCTACTCCACTGATCTCTCTCTGATTTTCATGAGRTCCTCCCTTTCTCTTCCTCTTTCCTCTTAGTTTCCACATGAGCAACACATAACCCTTGACTTCCTGGATTTGGCTCATTTTGCTTAATATAATGTTCTCAAGTTTGCCTAAAAATATTTTGAGGCAAAGTTTGCCTAAGTTTCTTTTGCATTTCCTTATCTAGATTAGTTCCAAATTAACAAGAGGCTTTCTTAGATTTTTTAAAAAAAATATTTATTTTTTAGTTTTCGGCAGACACAACATCTTTGTTKGTATGTGGTGCTGAGGATCGAACCCAGGCCGCACGCATGCCAGGCGAGCGCGCTACCGCTTGAGCCACATCCCCAGCCCCTAGATTTTTTTTTTTAACATAATATTTTAATTTTGGAATACCTTTAGAAGATAGAGATGGCGCAGGACTCCTGCCTGCCTCTCWCCCAGCGCACCCTAACATTTCCGCCTTAGGTAACTATGGCATAAGGAACCTTGGTGTGTTAATTACAGTTAACTCTTGGCTTTATCCTGAGCTCCCTAGTTTTCTCACCAGTGCTCTTTTCTCTTCTAGGATCCGATCCAGGATGCCAATAAGTTATTTTAAAAAAATGCACATCTTTTTCCTTTTCAAAGTAACTTCCAAATGCCTGTCAGTGTGGTCTTTAAAGGATGTGCTTCCTGTAGTAAGAAGTGATAACACTACCAGGTCATGAGGCTTGGACCTGGGGCTCTTGGGCAAAGGGCCCAGCGTCCACAGATGGGCTATGTCCTCGCTGCGCAGCTACATCACCCCTAAAAGCCCTCGGAGCTTCCTGGGCCCGTGCAATGCCCTCCCAAAGCCTGTCTGCCACCCTCACTGTTGGAAAACCGGGTTTTGAACCCAAACTTACCTCCGTCCTCTTCAGTGGGCTGATAAAATGGAAGCGGCACACCCTTAAAACAGGAGAAAAGTTCAGCTGAGGTCTCGCTCCACCCTCACTTTGGTAAGGAAGGTGAGTGGGCTGTCTGTGAGTGTGTCGTGGGAGAACAGAGGGCGGTGTGAGGGGAGGGCGAACCTCTCTCTGTTGCTCCTCGGAGCTAASAGCCCAGGGGCAAGAGGACCTGTCATTTTTCTAAATGGCTCTGAGTGCACAGCAGCCCAGGCAATGGGAGGTCACTGATAAAACTCTCACAAAAAGCCTGGCAGCCAGTGGCAGCAAAGCAGGTGCCTGGAACATCAGTCTACTTCCGGGCAAGGATGGGAGAGAGGGGTCCTGTGCTTTCCCTGCATCCTATGAGAGTCTCTGGAGGGCTGTCACCTGGAGCAGTGACAGGTGAACTGCAGCCTGGAGCCAAATCTGGGGGCTTCCCATTTTTATAAATAAAAGTTTTATTAGAACTCAGCCACATTCATTTGTGGGTTGTCTGGGGTTGTTTCTGTCCTTAATGGCAGAGCTGAGTGACTGACAGGAGCCTATGGCCCGCCCAGCCTGAAATATTTGCTATCTGGTCCTTTACAGAATGGCTTGCTGACCTGTGGCCTAGAGGTGGGTCCACTCTATAGAAAGAACTGACTGTTAAGCAGGCTGTTAAGAAGGACCCTTTCCTAGGACTCAGGACTGCATGTCCTGTGCCTGGAGCCGACAGAGAGGGAGGAGGGGCGCACCCTGTACCTCGTAGAGTTTGGTGGCAATAAGTTTTCTGCCAGTGGTGTTAATTCCTTCCATAATCACAACCTGAAAGAGAAACAACACAGGACTGCTAAACAGGGAGACAAATAGGAGGTTTGAATAGATTACTTTAAAAAGTATTTTGCAACTGTAAACTTAGCAGATTCTTTTTCTTTTTTTGGTATTGAGGATTGAACCAAGGAGTGCTCTACATTGAGCCATAACCCCGGCCCTTTTAATTTTTATTTTGAGGCAGGGTCTTGCTGAGTTGCTAAGGCTAGTCTTGAACTTGTAATCCTCCAGCCCCAGCCTCCCAAATTGCTGGGATTACAGGGGTGCACCACCATGCCTGGCTCTTGAAAACAAATCAAGGGGGCTTTAGAGTAATAATAATTATGCTCCACATAAATGACCTAATTCTCACAACCATCCCATGAGTAAGAATTATCATTCCCACTTTACAKATGAAGACACCGTGGGCTCAGAAAGGTAAGTGCCCTACCCACAGTCACACACCTTGGGTTCTCCCATCAGGGAGAACCGAATCCTTACAATGGTGCCTCAGGCCCAGCAGCCACATCTCACAGCATCGGAGATGGAAATCCAGAAGCAGCTGCCCAAGATGCAGCACTCATATGTGCAAGTGGCCTCTTGCACCCTAGGCAGGCCCTCCTATCTCACCTGTCCAGGAAACAGAGAGTACTCTTTGAGCTCAGTCAAGTCCACTGGAATCTGAGCACCTGAGGAGTGCTCCCGGTCTCCCTCCAGAATCACTGACTTGCTGTTCAGTTTCCCGTTGCTGTCACAGCCTATCTGGCCCAGCAGGGTGACAGGCTCCTAGGGAAAAAATAGAATAATGTAAGTATGACAGTCTTTGGGACAGCAGCGCCACATCCAAAGGCAACAGGGCAAAGGCAAAACAAACCCCACCAACACTCGCTTTTCTGGCTGAGTATCCCCTTGACTCTGAATTGACCACATCACCACCAGAGGTGGGGCACCTAGTCCACCCACCCACCCACCCACCATGTGAGCCCCTCCAAGAGGCTGCCTGAATCTCCAGTGAAGGGGCGCTTGTCCACACCCATCATAACCTTGGCATCCATGAGTAGTGGGCTTCGTAATAGCTCCCACCTATGGAGCCTGGTTCCCAGGCTGTGTTCTCAGGGCTGACGTGTATTAACTCATTTAATTCCCACAACATGGGCTAGATACGACCATGTCCATTTTAAGATGAGGAAAACAAGAGCAGAGAGTTAGATAACTCAGTCAAGGTCAAACCCAGGTGAAGCCTAGGTTTTAAGCGCAGGACTCTGGCTCCAGAGCCACATCCCTAGTCACACACCATGCTGCTTCTGAATAGGAAGTTCTTCGTTAGATTGAACAAAATCTTTCCCCCAATGGCTTCCTCTGTCATGTTCCCACTCTTAAGAACAAACAGAGGAAGTCTAATCTTTCCTCCATGATTGTGCATCCCTGCCCCTACCCATACTTCCTCCTGATTCCTCCAAAACTCCTGAGTAGGACAGTTTTGCATCTTTTTCCTAACGGATCATTCTTCCCTGGATGCAAACACATGACAAAGACACTGTAGACTCTTGCATGCTAGGTATGGTGGCACAGGTACTTCTTGGGAGACTGAGGCAGGAGGATTACAAGTTTGAGCCCAGCCTTACTTAGCAACTTAGTGAGATTATACCCCAAAAAAGGGTTGTGGGGGGCTGAGGGTGTGGTTCAGCGATAGAGCGCTCGCCTAGCACATGCAAGGTGCTGGGTTTGATCCTCAGCACCACATAAAAATAAAAATAAATAAAAATAAAGGTATTGTGTCCAGCTACAATGAAAACAGTTTTTTGTTTTTTTTTTAAAAAGGCTGTGGGTGCCAGACGTGTGGGTGTGGTGTGGTGGTGCACGCCTGAAATCCCAGCAGCATAGGGGGATGAGGCAGGAGGATCATGAGTTCAAAGCCAGCTTCAGCAAAGGTGAGGCACTGAGCAACTCAGTGAGATCCTGTCTCTCAATAAAATACAAAATAGGCCTGAGGATGGGGCTCAGTGGTTGAGTGCCCCTGAGTTCAATCCATGGTACCCAAAATTAAAAAAAAAAAAAATGGGCTGGGGTTGTAGCTCAGTTGTACAATGCCCGAATGAAATCCCCAGCATCGCACTCACACAAAAAGAATCTTGCAGGAGGTCTCTCCTTAGATGAAGAGAGAAAGCACCAGCACATATGCCAGATTTTAACCCTGATGCAAAGATACCACCGGCTGTCACTGGACCAAAACAGGGGAGTCACTGCAATGACAGAGGCAGAACCAGGGGAGTCACCATTGAGGTAATGAGACTCTGGAGRTCCCATTCTTGCTACAACCTTATCCTGGACTCCTGAATGCTTCTACCTGTGGGAACTCTCCTGGGCTTTCTGCCTCACCTCCAAGAGGAACAAAGCCTTCAGCCTTTGCTTAGGGCAAGACCCCGATCCAAGTGGGAACACTCATAAGGCTTCTTCGGAAGGATCCATTCTGCCCAATTTAACCAAGACAGAAGTCTCTCTGCCACCATGAGACTAATCAGCGAGAACTCTCAGAACAACTTACTTGGGCTGGGACCAGAAGAGGAGTAAAGGCCTCGATCCTGTAGTGTTCCTTGAGTTCACTGCCAAGCTCTTCTATCTTACAGGTCAGAACTGTAACCCCAGAGGTCAAAACTCGTTATGCTTAAGACATTTCACTTGCCAAGAAAAGAAAACACGGCACATTGTGAAATATTAGTCGGTCATTTTAAAGAGGCAGGGAGGTGCCTGGACATCCAAAGCCCCAGCCCATTGGTTGCTGAATATAGGGGTCACATGGCACAGTCCCAGGGAGTTAGTGTGAATCACCACCCTGACTCGAACCTCTCCTTTCCTCAGGTTCTACTGAAGTTTTGGGCAAGTCGAGGCAATCTGRAGAGGGCTCCCAAGGAAGAAGCCATAAATGTCCTTAACTTTAAACGGAATTTCTTTCGTAGCTCCTGTTTTCAATACTGGATGTGGGTATGTTTCTTCCTTGGCAAAGTGATGGACTTGGGAGAGTTACTGACAGCACCGCCAGCGCCCCTCCTCTAACAGGCACCCTGAGGACTCTGCCAGCTTGGGTATTCAAAGGCTGCCTTGGAGCTTATTTTGCAGCCTAGCCCAGCCTTTGTTACTTCTCTAAACCCCTCCTGGGGGTTTTACACCCACCAGAATTTCAAAGGGAAACACCGATCACCTTCTCGAATGTCTGGGAGCTTCTGGAACATGGATTTGTAGCTCCCAGTCAGTGGCTCTGGATACCCCAGGACCTTCAGGCTGATGCTTCCAGCTCCTCCTCTCCCAGACCACGACACGCCCTGTGTAGAGCCAAAGGTGGTGACCACTTCTCCTCGGTTATTTCTTGAGTTGTATTTCTTGGAGGGAGTAGCACTAAGGGGAACAAAACAGACAGGGTTCACAGCTAACAGGAGGGAGGAATAAACAGGGTTACATTTGGGAAATGGGCACTAGAGAAAAACCAAGATGGCCTTTAATCAGCGTAATGGGATTGGACATACTGGGACCTTTCAGGAATCTCAGGAATGAGAGGCTGAGGAATACCAGATCGAGGAGGAATACCAAACGTGTTTAGAGAAGTTTAAAGACAGAAACATCATTTTAAAAGGTTGTCGTTCTGGTATTAACTAAACAAAGACACAACTCAAACCCTGAATCGAATGARAAGCAAGTTTCAGGTATCATTTTCCTTTCTTCTTATGAATTGTCAGCATTTATCAGGACATTCTGAGCCTGGAACTGTGCATAAGCTAAAAGTTGTTGAGAATATATAAAAATTCACAATACAGTCCAAGGTAGGGGGGGAAAAACAAAAACAATAAAATGAAGTTAGCAAAATTACCAATTTCCCTGGTGTCTAAGGAGGTGCAGACGTCATGAATTAACAGTCACCGGTGAGCAAACATTCCCATGCTCCAAGGCCAACTGCTAAGCTCTCATATTTCTACTCCCTGGCTGGGGAATCACACCAGAACACACAGACACTGCTGATCTGCTCTAATCCTTCAGTTGTGAACATCACGTACCTCCAGATGGGTCTACTTAAAACAGACTTCATTTACTGCACCAAAACTCTGCAGGAACTAGTCTTACATGGGGCACTACTGCCTCTGGGGCCACCTTTCCTTCTCTCCAGATGGACGCTATAGAAAATGAGCTCAACTAATTATCTCCATCTCCAGTGCTGCCTCTACCTGAATAATTTACAAGTTACTTTCATAAATTACAAAGCCAGCTTCTGATGTCAGCTTTATTAGCGTGTATTAAAAACTGAAGAGGCAGCACATCCCTGACTTGTCCGAGTTCCTCCCTGAGACTCCACGGCCCTTTCATGCAACCAGGTGCGCGGGTTTCAAAGGACTGCAGTTGGGAGAACTAAGTAAGGGGCTGGGGCATCCGCGAGAACCATTGCCACACACTGGGTTTCAAAGATGTTCTTAGTTAAGCTTGTTTTCAAAAGCAGTCTGAGGCGGGCGTGGTAGTGTATGCCTGTAATCCCAGCAGCTTGGGAGTTCAAAGTCAGCCTCAGCAATTTAGAAAGGCACTTAGCAAATCAGTGAGCGCTTGTCTCTAAATAAAATATTTAAAAAGGCCAAGGATGTGGCTCACTGGTTAAGCACCCCTAGGTTCAATYCTCAGTAAAAAGAATAAAAAATAAATAGCAGTCTAAGATCTCTCCCAAGCTCTACTGGACCACGGTGAAATCAAATTGTCCTTCAAAGTTCGTGACCATTTATCCTGAAAGCCTGCAGAGCTTCTGTCTCTGTCTTTCCAAGGTATTCTGGATGGTCTAAAAGTATCCACTCCTGGTGGTTGGGATTTCCCTAAATGGTTAACGTCACCGCTCGAAAGTGTCCTCTAAAGTACCTGTAAACACTTCTATTCAGCAAAGCACGTACCTATAGGATTCCCTAACATAAGACATATCATTTACGGATTTCAAAAAGTCACATATGATCTCTGTGGGTTTAGGTGCAGTGGTGGCAGCTGGGAAAAAATATCAATTAAGTCCGTGTAGAGTCTCGGTGACAAGGAAACTCTCAGAAACTAGTTGTAACCTGAGTGAGGAACAACAAACAGGTTATGCAACATTATGAACAAAGATGTGTGTTATGCTTTTTAGAAAATAAACACTTTAGATTACAAAAAGAAGAAACAAACTGACAGAAGCAGGCAAAAGCCTGTTTGTTTCTACTGGCAAGACTCTGGGCTTCTGAGCAGACAGATCGCCTCCAATCAGGCCTCAGTTCCTGACCTAGGAAACCAGCCCTGGAGAAGTGGGCGGAAAGTGGGTCTCCTCGGCTACTGTAAGACACGGGAATTTTCCACCAGGGAAGAGAGCCGGGCGGCCGAGCCAGAGTTGCACACCCACCCACGGCGAATAAGCTACTCTGCAGTCAGCCTCTGCCAGGCAGCCAGAGAAAGGGGAGGAGGGCTTCCTTCCAGGCACCTGAATTAGTAGGATCCATACCTTGGAGAGAAACTCGATGGAGAGAGGAGCTGATGTGGGCTACGAGTAGACACGCTCCTTTTTGTTAGGGGGGTTTCTGGCATGGTGATAGCTCGCTTCTGAGGACCCTGGAAACAAACAAGATCCTAGTCACCTGGACCTAAGTTGCTGATTCTGTGTAGAGCTCCTGAGGAAGAAAAGGGCCAACAGTGCCCTAATGAAGGACCCAGGATAGGACACAAACGATTGGTCCCTCAAGGTCCCATCTTCCAAGTATAATTCCAGAAAGAAATCTTCAACATTGGCCCCATTTTGAAGGAAATTACAGAAAACACAAGCAATGTTTTCTTTTTAAATAACTAAAAAAAAACCAAAAAAACCAAAAAAAACAAAAACTTTTTTTTTCCTTTTCTTTTTTGGTACTGGCAATCTAATCCAAGGGTGCTCTACCACTGAGTTATATCCCCAACCCCTTTCAAAATTTTATTGAGACAGGGTCTAATTTGCCCAGTCTGGCCTCTAAGTAGTGATTCTCCTGCCTCAGCCTCCTGAGTTGCTGGGATTCCAGGCATGCACCATCCCACCCACCATAAATATTTTCCAGAAAGGATCACCAGAAGGGCAATCTGTCCTGTCAAATCTTTGGTGTGTTCGATTTCTGTCCCTGCCTCTTTGCTTTAGAACAGATCTGAGTTTGGCAATGCATTTTTTTTTAAAAATTGAGATTCATTTTATTTCATTTGTAGATGGACACAATACCTTTATTTTATTTATTTATTTTTATGTGGTGCTGAAGATTGAACCCAATGCCTCACATGTGCCAGGCAAACTACCACGGAGCCACAACCCCAGCCTGGCAATGCAGTTTTGATGTGCCTGCACACATTTTCCTGAGAAGGGGTGGAACCATGTTACACTCACTCTGGCCAAATCTACCACACATTTTCCAAATTAAAGACGGGACTGACTCCAGCAGATAACGTGGCTGAGCTCATACTTGGAGAATAGTTAACAAACACCTCATCCATGGTCACTTCTGGGTTTGGTGCTTTTTTTTTTTCTTTTGGCTCATCAACAAGAATCCGAAGATAAGCTCAGAATGGAGGATAAAATCCAGCTAGAGACCCAGTGCTCCCTAGACTAGAATAGCTTGAGTTCAACAGGAAAGACAAATCTTTGCCCAGCCCACAACCAGGAGGCTGCCTCATCTGCAGCTTTTCCTGCCCAAGAGCTCCTCCTGCTGGTGTATTTAAGTCATGCCACCCAGCTGYGGTTCCATGGTGGCTGCAGGAGACAGAAGCCAAGAACAGATTCCAAATCATTAAGTAGCTGCATGGTAACCAGATCAACAAACCCCCCACGCTACTTTCCTCATACAAGAACAATGTCTGAATATGCCTTGATACTTAATACTTTTCCAGTTTTAGATATATGAAAATTAGGACTGGAGATGTAGCTCAGAGGTAGAGTGCTTGCCTAGAATGTGCAAGGCCCTCGATTCACTCCCCAGTACTGGAGGGAATATAAACACACACACACACACACAGACACACACACAGACAGAGACACAGAATTATAATCTTAGTCTAAATGTAAACTTTAGGTACCGACACTGATTTTTTAAAAACAATTTATTTGTTTATTTTTGGTGGTGCTGGGGATTGAACCCAGGGCCTCGTGTATGCAAGGCAAGCACTCTTCCAACTGAGCTATGTCCCCAGCCCCTACAATGTTTTTTTAATTAATGTTTTTTTTTTTTTTTAGTTGTAGACACAATACCTTTATTTTATTTATTTATCTTTTTAAAAAAAATATGGTGCTGAGGATCAGACCCAGGGCCTCACATGTGCTAGGCAAGCGCTCTACCACTGAGCCACAACCCCAGCCCCTCATTACAATCTTTATCCTTTTGAGTAGCTGTGTTATTTGAATTGCTGTATGAAAATTTACACAACTAACCATCTTTTGCTGAATGATGGGTTGTTTCTAATTTCTGGTGATTATAAATAATGCTGAGAGGCATATCTTCATGCATACAGATTTTTCCATATTTGGATTATTTCCTCAGGAGATATACCTTTGGTGCTGGGGATGGAACCCAGGGCCTTGCACATGCCAGGCAAGTGCTAACCACCGAGCCCTACGCACCCCCCGCAGCCTACCTCGGAAGATTTTTTTGCAAGAAAGAAATACTGAGACGGGGTAAAAAAGATTTTATGGAGGCTGGAACTGTAGCTCATTTTATGGAGGCTGGAACTGTAGCTCATTTTATGGAGGCTGGAACTGTATGTAGCTCATTGGTAGAGCGTGTGTGAGGCACTGGGTTCCATCCTCAGCACCACATAAAAATAAAGATACTGTGTCCATCTACAACTAAAACTAATAATAATAAAAGATTTTATGGTTTTGACACATTTTCTCAAACTACTTCCCCTAAAGATTTTTCTACAATTCATCAACCATCATGGGCCAGGCATTAGGGAAAAGCAGATGAACCAGTGTCCATCCCTCAGAACCTTCCACTCTGATGGAGGCACATCACTTTGGGGGTACCAAGCCCCGTGGAGATACACAAAGCAAGAAAATAAGCCATGGCGGGAATGAGGTGGGGTCTGCCATTTGAGGCAGGTTTAAGCTGGACACGTTTTTTATTCTTGTCATGTCTGAAGACCAGAAAGGAGAGCGGTGTGGAGGGAGCAGAGTGAGAGACCAAAGAGAGGGCAGGGCAGGRCAGGGCAGGGTGGGGCAGCTTGTCACTGGGTCACAGCCTGGGTCAGGCTGTAAATGTCAGCATGGAGGACAGGAAGCACAGGGAGTGGTGAGCATGAGAACCCTGGCCAGGCTTTCTTCTGAAAGGAACACTGGCTGCTGCAGGGAGAATCGGTTAGAGGAGGCCAAGGAAGAAAGAGCCAGGGGACTGGAGAGGAGGCTGTCCAGKTGCTTAGGAGACAGAGAGGCTGTGGGTCCTTTGTCTCCTGACAGAGGTGGTGGGAGGTGGCCAGATCCTGGAAGGAAGGCAGATGGGACTGGAAGCTAGTTGGATGGGGTGTGAGAAAAAGAGGATTTGAGGTCTGCAGGATTCTTGGCCTGAGCAAAGGAAGAATGGAGGTGTCCTTCACTGGGATATGGACTCTGAAAATCATCTCTGGGGGGAGTTGGGAGTTGAGTTATACACAGTCTCTCCAATCTTAACAAACTCGAAGGGAAATATTTCCTGTAGGTTGGGGAGTGGGCTTGGGACTCAAATCCATAGCCTTGTACATGCTAGGCAAGCACTCTACCAAGAGCCACACCCAGCCTCACAGTTTCCCATAATATTTTATGCATCTGGTTTGTGTACGAAAATTTACAGGGCATGTTTCTGGTTTCTCTGTTCTTCAATCAGGTTACCAAAACAACTTAGCTTCTTAGGACGTGATTTGCTTTGAAAAATTTAGGCTTATTCCATGTTCATGGATTCCCACAAATTCAGTTAGTATAAAGGGTAATTATGGGCTGGGGATGTGGCTCAAGTGGTAGCGCACTCGCCTGGAATGCGTGCGGCCCGGGTTCGATCCTCAGCACCACATACAAACAAAAGATGTTGTGTCCGCTGAAATCTAAAAAATAAATAAATATTAAAATTTAAAAAAAAAAAGGGTAATTATAGCTGGGTGTGGTGGTGCACACCTGTAATCCCAGTGGTCCCTAGACTGAGGTGGCAGGATCCTAAGTACAAAGCCAGCCTTGGCAACTTAGCAAGACCCTGTCTCCAAAATAAAAACTAAATAAAGGGCTGGGGATGTAGCTCAGTGGCAGAGTGCGCTGGGTTCAATCCCTGGTAATGGCTATTGCTGAATACACTGCCAAGGGGGGCCTTGTTCTTTACTTACTCATTTTATCTTCAAGCCATCCGAGGTGGGGGATGCCTCTCAAGGGTAGCACCCATCAGAGCCTTTTTCTTTTTTGAAACAGTGTCTCTCTTTGTTGTCCAGGCTGGTCTGAACTCCTGAGCTCAAGTGATCCTCCCGCCTCAGCCTCCCAAGGGCTGAGACAACAGGCACACTCCATTGTGCCTGCCTCAAGCCAGTTTCATTGATTGCCCATTACCTAGTGTCTAGGACAGTGCTTGGCATACAGTAGCTGCTCAATAACTGAACAAGTAAATCCTGATTTTATAGGTAAGGAAACTGTAGCTCAGTGACAAAACAACACACTAAGTTGTTCACTAACTGACTCAGACTCTGAAGGCAATACTTTATCATTACTCTACTGAGCCTCTCACACTGGGGTCCAACACCACAGAATGGATTATTCAATTACAGTATCTCCGCTTGGTGTAAGATTCTGCAACCATTAAAAAAGGGGCAACTGGGGCTGGGATTGTGGCTCAGCAGTAGAGTGCTTCTCTAGCACSTGTGAGGCCCTGGGCTTGATCCTCAGCACCACATAAAAAATAAAATAAAGATATTGGGCCCAACTACAACTAAAAGATAAATATTAAAAAAGGGGGGCAATTATAAAGAAATTGTATTTACAGAAATACTTGTAATATGCTTGCTGAAAAAAGCTGGATAACTGTATGTTCACAATTATTATTATGTAAAAATATTTATGTATCTAGTTGGAAAGGAAGATGCAAAGTAGAAATATAGTAGGAACTATAGGGGAGTGATTGCTTTTCCCCCTCAGATCTATATAGRTTGTGATAACATTAAGAACTGCTACTTATAGAATGCAATTTGTACACAACATATATTCACCTTAGAGGGTGTGGTGTAAGAATTCAAAAGGGTCTCCTCTTCTTCTTCCACTTCGATTCTAAAAACATTGGTTAAGGAAAACAATAATGAACTTCCACTTAAGGCAAGGGCTGATTAAGTAGAAATCTAAATATTAGGTAACTTTTATTATTTGTTTCTAAGTTCCACCTACTACCACAGGCAAATTGTAAAGTACAATATGTGACTCGATGGGAAACTTTTGGCAGGAAAGGATACAGCTCTTGTATAGAAATGATGTCTCTAGCGCCCGCATGCCCACTGTCCTTGGAGCTACTGTGCCAGGTCTTAGATAATCTTTTGCTCAGAATCTGAGGAAAGAAGACAGTGCACCATTAACCTGTAGTCTCACAATGGGGGAAGCAYTTCCCACAGCCTTGAGATGATAATAGGCATTCGAATATAATCAAAGATAACAATTCTAATAACACCATCTTCTGAGTAATTTTAGGGGTTCTACATCCATTCTCATTTAATTCTGACAGTAACCACAAAAATACAGATTATTAGAATCCTTGATGGAAGAGAAATCTAAGGCTCAGAGATACTAGGTAGCCTGCCCAAGCTCACAGTAGGCCTGGAATCCAGGCCTGATTCCAAAGCCCTCACTCTCCTGCCTACGTTGCACACACCCCTACGGAGCAGGTGCAGGAGGACATCGTCAGTTTGCCCACATTTTGTTCTTACCTCATGTTCAAAAGTGCTCAGGACCTCAGGGGTGAGGTGAGCTTTCTTGGTGCTGGTGCAGAAGGCTATGAGCTCGCCCACCATCCCCTCCTCGTTCTGTCCATACAGAACACACAGCTCTGCCACTATGAGGGGGAAAAGGGGACAGGTAAGAATTTGGTTCATTCTTCATTTTCATCTTGCAAAGTGAAAATAATCCTCTATTTATTTGGTTGATATTTATTCAGCATCTACTAGTGCAGCCCCATGCTAGGCACTGGGAACACAGCAGTGAACAGGACAGAGAAGAACCTTGTTCTCATAAAGTTTATCAAACAAATAAATAAAATAGGCCATATGTTAGACGGTTAAATGTGCTATGTAGAAAAATAAAGCTGGGAAGGGATCAGGAAGTTGGGGAAGGGGTTGGCAAATTCAAATACGGTGATTAGGGAAGGTCTCTGTGAGAAGGTGACATTTGAATAAAGACTTGGAGGAAGTGAAAGAGCATGTCAGGCAGTTTAGGGGAAGAGATTTCAGTAGAGGAAGCCACAAGTGCAAAGATCTTGAGGTAGAAGCAGGATCAGTAAGGTCACATGGCTAGGGAGCAAGGAGAGGGAAGAGGAGTTGAAAGGGCACAGGGATCCAAATTGCTGGTCCTGTAATTACCCTGTAATCAGAGTGCTCTGAGCAAGTAGGAAATCACTGGAGTGTTTTGAACAGAACAGTGACATGATCTGACTTCCATTTAACAGGATCTCTGGATGCTGTGTTAAGCATGGACTGAAGAGAAAAAGGACAGGATCTGGGGGGACAATTAAAAAATCCGGGAGGCTGGGGTTATGGCTCAGTGGTAGAGCGCTTGCTTAGCATGTGTGAGGCACTGGGTATGATCCCCAGCACCACATAAAAATAAACAAATAAAAGAAAAGTATTGTGTCCATCTACAACTAAAAATATATATATATTAAAAAAAAATCCTGGGGGGGGCTGGGGATGTGGCTCAAGCRGTAGCGTGCTCGCCTGGTATGCGTGTGGCCTGGGTTTGATCCTCAGCACAACATACAAACAAAGATGTTGTGTCCACTGAAAACTAAAAAATAAATAAATATTAAAAAAATTCTCTCTCTCTCTTTAAAAAAAAGAAAAGAAAAAGAAAAAAGAAATTCCGGGGGCTGGGGATGCAGCTCAGTAGAACACTTGCCTAGCATGACTCTTGGTAAAGTACAGCCTCAAAAAAACAGGAGAATAAGTCAGGCATCACTCTCCTGTGTTCATACGTATACACAATTGGTGAAACTCCACATCACGCGCAATACAAGAACGGGATCCTAATTGGAATGTTATACTCCATGTACATACAAGTCAAAATGCACTCTACTGTCTAAGAAGGATAAAAGAAAAAAGCTGAGGAAAAAGTACACCCTGAAGATAAAGCCAGTGGGATCTGCTGACCAGATGTGAGGTGTAAGAAACAAAGAAAGAAGCCAAGGAGGACGTTCATTTTTTAGCCTGGGCAAGCAGAAAGAGGGAGTGATTATGACCTGCRATGGGGGAGAGAGTAGAACTGCTCCTGGGAGAGGGAGGAGGTACCAGGAGCTTAGTTTTAGCCATGGAGTTGGAGATGCCAATTAGACATCCAACAGGACACGTCAAGTAGGCAGGACAGACCACCTGCAGTCAGGTGAGAGGTGCAGCTGAGACATGAATTTGAGAATCAGCAGCAATTAAATAAGATATAAATCCATGGGACCAGGTGAGACCACGACAGTTAACACATCTAGAAAGCAGCGGTCCCAGATCTGAGCCCTGGATGCTCCAACGCTAAAATGAGGATGAATCTGCAAAGCCTGGAAGTGGTGACCAGCAAGGCTGAAGAAAAACCAGGAGCAAGGACAGAGAAGCTGAGAGAAAAATGCATACTAAGGAAGAGGAAATGAGCCAGGTGCCACGGGGCACACCTGTAATCCCAGGTATCTAGGAGGCTGAAGCAGGAGGGGATCTAGAGTTTGAGGCCAGCCTGGGCAACATGGTGTGACTCCACTGCTAAATAAATAAATTATTAAATAGGAGATGATGAACAGTGTCAAATCTGCTGGTAATTTAGATGAGGACTGAGAATTCATCCCTGGCTTTGGTAGGCTGAAGGTCAATAAGAACTTTGGTAACAGCAGTTTCAGTGAAATGGTGAGAAGGAGGGAGCGCTTACTGACAGGAAGAAAAATGTGAAGAGCAAGTACACACAGCCCCTTTGAGGTTTGCTGTAGAAGAAAACTCCAGTTGAAAGAGGAGTCAACAGGATACTTTACAGACAGAGGTAAGAACAACATTTCTATGTTATTTAGGAAAAAAAAATCTTGGAGAGAGAAAAACAGAAATATGTGCCGGGCACAGCAGTACACACCTGTTATCTCAGTGACTTGAGAGGCTTAGGCAGGAGGCTAGCCTCAGCAACTTAGCAAGAACCTGTCTCAAATTAAAAAACAAAACAAAACAAAAAGAAAAAGGACTGGGATGTAGCTCAGTGGTAAAGCATCCTGGGTTCAATCCACAGTACTCTCCCCCAATAAATCCCCCCAAATATGTAAGAGTGGAGAATTACTGGAGTGATGTCCTTAAGGAAATAAGAAGAAATGGAATTTAGGACTCAAGTGGGTGGCTTGGCTTTTGCAAGGAACATGTTTATTCACTGTAACAGAAGTCTAGGTATATGCCACAACACAAGTAGGGGAAAAGTAATGGTAGCAGCTGATGGAAGTTTTCTAATGCATCTATTTTCTCAGCAACACAGGAAGCAAGTTCATCAGTTKTGAGTAAGGATGGGACAGAAGACATTAAAGGAGAAGGGAAAAAAATTAGTCATTAGTAGACTTGGAATAGACCAGGGTGTGACTCTCAAGCAATTATGGTCTTGTTGAGGCTAACCATTATGAATGCAAAGTCTAGAATTCCAGCACCTGTGCCCAGATGGGCCCATGTGAGTTGGAGCAGCAGGTATTTTGGTCTGCTGGTACAAATTTGGTTCCCTATTGTTTTGATTTCATGTTTGCCAAACAAGTTTCTGACTAGTTTCTTATTCAAGTCTCCTTTTAAGAAAAGAGAGTCTCCTTTTTTAAAAAAATATATATTTTTAGATGTTGATGGACCTTTATTTTATTCATTTATTTATATGTGGTGCTGAGGATTGAACCCAGTGCCTCACACGTGCTAGGCAAGTGCTCTACCACTGAGCCACAACCCCAGCCTGAAAGTCTCCTTTTAATTCTCCTTAGGGACTTGAAATATTTTGGTGTCTATGAAAGGAATTTCTCGTCAGAAAATAATATGCTTGCATTCTGGTTTTATCTCTAAAATAAGTTTAAAGTGTGGATAAAGGGCTGGGGGTGTAGCTCAGGAGCACAACACCTGCCTAGCACCCACCGGGTGCTGGGGATCCCATCCCCAGGACTGCAAAACAGCAACAAGCAAGTTGATGAGTGGTAGGGCAGGTGCACATCCCTCCCAGTTTTAAAACAGAACTTCACATCTCCTGAGATTTTGGTTCAAATAATTCCTTATCATCGGTCCACCTGCTGGAGCCCTGGACTGGGGTTCACACATCACTTTAGCAATAAACTCTCCTTTTCTGTGTTYCTCCATCTAGACACAGAGGGAGCTGACAGGCTCCCCGAAGTTCCTTCCAAAGCTAAAATTCAAATGTAGGAACCCACCACCAGGGGTTCMTATTTGTCCAGACCACCAACAGGTTGACGAGAGAAGGGCTGGGTCAGTTTTAGAGTTTCCGTGGACTGGACATGGAGGAGCCAAGAACAGAAAGCTACATTCTAAAACCTCCGAGTCTCTTCCTTCAGCCACCTCTAGCCTCGGGGATGCCCTCGGGTCCAGTCTGAACTTAGCAAGTCCCAATTCCACCTTCCGGACACTCGAGTAGATTTAAAATCGTGCTCTTTATTCTTTTTCTTTTTCCCCCCGGACCCCAGGGGTATCCCGGGCGCACTCCGAAGCCCCCACAGCCCAATCTCAAAATTTTCTCCCCTAATTCCTCCCGCCGCGCGGCCGACTCCGCAGGACTCACGTTTCTCGATCTGGGCGTCCTCGCAGTCCAGGCCGAAGATCTGCAGCTCCTCCGCCAGCTGCTGGGTGGACACGGGCATGGCGACTCAGCAGGGGCCGGGGGCCCGGCCAGCCAGCTCCGACCTGAGCCCTAGACCCCGCGGGCGAGCGGGGCGACGAGCAGGGGAAGGTTCTCTAATCCCTTCAGTCCCTGGGCCCGAGACCGGACGTCACCAAGCGACCCACGACCTCGCGCCCAGGCGTCAATCACACCGAAATACTTTTGATTTTTACTGTGGGGGTAGTCCCCCAGAGCTCCGAAGGGAAGGCGCGGAAACCTCGACACGAAGGAGGTCCTGCTCGGGGAAAAGGTACCTCCGAGCTACTCAGCTGGGGAAGCAGAACCCAGCAGCCGGGAAAACCCGCCAAACGGTTTGCGCTGCGCGCGCATGCGCGAAGCCCGGGCCCGCCCCACTGCGGCTGCGCAGTTTTCTCCCGCCGCGCGCCTGACGTCCCGCAACCGAGCTCCGCGCGCACCTGTTTTCCCAGCGTCGCCGGTTCYGCGGGCCTTCGCGATGCTGTCTGTCCCCTTTTTGTCCTGTACCTGGGCTCACAGGCGTGAGGTGTAMACGTCCCCGAATATCCGGAACTTGCTGTGCCCGCGCCGGGGAGGAAGGACGCGTGGACCCTGCAGAACCCCTTGCTGCCCTCCCATCCCGCCCTGATGTGCCCCTGGTCATCCTAARCAGCGGCATCCGTAGCGAATCTGGCTGTCGTGGCTGTTGTCGTGCTTGTCACCCAGCCGCGGGGATGGGTCTCCCTTCTGAACCTGGGACACTTTGGTGGATACGGGGCGGGAAATGACTCGTGATGTAGTCGGGGGCTTTCAGATTTCCAGGCAGAGGTTCCCAGTGCGGGGTCGGGCGGTGGCGAGGGAGGGTGGTCACTGCGGGAGAGAGTTCAGGTGAGACGGTAAGGTGGTAAGACGGTTCTGGAATATTTCCGAACTGTTTGAGCCAGAGTTTTCATTGACTCAGTCCGGATCAGGTGACCTTAAGACATCATACTCTGGATAGAATGGAAGACTGATGGGGCCTTTCAAGACAGCAGTTTGGCTCTATAAAGAGCCTTTTAAAAGGTGTCCCTCCCTTTGTCTTTGTGGTACCAATTATTGGAATCCAGGGACACTCTAACGCTGAACTACATACCCAGCCCCATACTGGGGTCCCCCACCCCTGCCTTTTTTTTTTTTTTTTCTTTTTCCTCTCTTTGAAGCAGTGTTGGGCTGAATTGCTAAAGCTGGACTCCAACTTGCCATTCTCCTGCCTCATCCTTCCAAGTGCCTGATATTACAGGCGTGAGCCCCTGGACCTGGCTAAAAAACGTCCTTCCCTCCTGACAGCAGATCCTACCTTAGGAAACAGCCCCCAATACAGGCTAAGTTCTTTGTACTTAGCATGTTCTCTGCAGCCTCTTTTACCATATTAAAAGCTGGAAGATGTGTGAACATCTAGTTAGGGGGTTGCTGATTAAGGGATGGCTGGGTTTACCAGAGCAGGGATTCTTAAATCTATGCATCAAAGTGACCAATGACCTCTACTAAGTCCTAGGAATGAGATGAGGGAAGGGGCCAACTCCCTGGCCCACTGGAGCACATTTTGTCCTCAATCAGGATGGAGCAGGATGTRGTCAGGTCAGAGGAGAGAGAACTTCATTACTCTCCCTGAGGCTTCTTACTAATAAGTACCCACCCGGGAGGGCAGGAGCTGCCCCATGTACAGGAAATAAGGGGTATATTGGTATTCTGTCACTACCCAGTTATCACAAACTTAGTGAATTAAAACAACATGCATTTATTAACTCCCAGATCTATCTGTGGGTGAGAAGTCTGGGCACGGCATAGCTGGGTTTGCTGCTTGGTGTCTTAGAAGACTTGAAATGAATGTGTTGGGGTCAAGCTGCTTTTTTTTTTTTTTTTTTTTTTTTTTTTTTTTT